CTCTCATTTTCTATTACACTCTGATTGAATGATGGGTACCTATTATTTCATAATATATCGTATTGTATTGTGTTATGTTATATTATATTGTATTATATTATTTTAATTAATAATATAATATTTAGATTGATTGTATTGTTCTCCTTCTTACGGAATGTCATACATTTACAATTTGAATAATAAATCTATAAAAAAAGTAGGATCTATAATAGAACTATTATAAAATGGTAGGATAAAATGTGATGATTAAATTATAAGTAAAGACAAAACGAGAAAAAAATTAAGAGAACAATGCGGTCACACTAAATCGATCGTTATAAAACTTTTTATCGTTACGTAACAATGTCATTTAAACGAAACGATATAATAAATAATAAATATAAATACAATCAACAGAAATATTATATTTAAACTAACAATAAAAAAATACAATAAAGTAACAACTATCCAAATAATATGTAACACGAAAAGACTTAATTAATTAATTAATTAACTGATTGAAATGTTCGAATTGGATAATTAATGTACATTGTACACGCGTCAATTTAGCTATAAACAAAGTCAAACAAAACAACATATTCAGTACATCATCACATCATAATAACGCCTTTTCTTTAATTTGGAAAATGACTTTCCAAAAAAAAATAATTAAAATTTTCTAATTGTTATCTAGTTATACTAGACCAAGACATTGAGCCAAGACAAACTTATCTTCTTTTTTTTTAGTCGAGTCGAGTTGAATAAGCTGATCAAACCTATCTATTCATTTATTGTGATTTTAAGTCAAGTCAAACACAATTACTAGAGTAGAATAAAAGAAATTAAAAAAAACATGTCATAATATAGCCAAATCTGAATCGATCAACGAATCAACTCTTTATTACTTATGTTTTCCTTTTTGGGTCCATATTGGGGCAATGCCACTAGGTTATTTTCATATACTAAAATATAAAACTCGTTTATTAAAAAGATATGATATGAGCATATGAAAGAAAGTGGATTTTGAATTTGTCTCTATGGTAGCGGTTGAGCAAAATTTAATAAATATGTTATTAGAATTAAAAAAATGTTACACTTTTTTTTTCCTTCAAGACTTGTACTCATTACATGGTATATTTCCAAAAAGAAAGAATACAAAATTCTACTTATTATCTCATGACCAAAAATAGAAAAATAAAAGAAAAAAAGACATCATTATTAGGTACCAAAGGGCCGGTGCTGAGAAACAAGCTACTATTTCCGTCTAAAATTATCAGTCGTATTTCTTTCTTACACATATTTAAAGAAAATATTAATTTAAAATTGCGTATTTCTTCTTTAAATATTACTCTATTTATGTGTTATAACTCCATAATTGAGGTGCTTATAGTTTAATTTCAAGACCAATTATTATTAAAGGTAAAATGAAAAAGAATAACTAACTTTATCTTGAAGTTTTAAAATGACAAACAAGTACTTTCTCCAATCCAAAATAAATAAATCTCAAGCACTTTTTTTATGGTTCAAAATGAATGAATTTTTCAAAGTTCAAAAATGTAGAGATTTTTCCAAATGAATGAATAAAATAAAGCTGCATAGATTTTTCAAAATAAATGAATTTTTCAAAGTTTGATGATTGAAAGTTTCAACTATCTTTATTTTTAACAAAAGTTTATGAAATAGCAAAGGGGTAATATTGTCAAATAACCCTTTGATAAAAGTTCATTTATTTGAGACAATTATTTTTAAAAAATACAATCAATAATTTAAGACGGAGGAAATAAATTTGCGTGATTATTCATTTATTCTTTTCTAATTTCGGATTCTATAAATTGAAAAGCTTCACAGCGTTTTTTAAAAAAGCAACAAACTTTCTTCTTTACTAAAGTTCTTTCATACATAAAGCAAGCAAAATAGCAAAGAAAATAAGAAATTAAATCATGCCTTGCTTTAATCTTTCAACAAACGTTAATCTTGATGGAGTTGACACTTCTGATTTCTTCTCTGAAGCTACCAAAGCTGTTGCTTCTATCATCGGAAAACCCGAAAACGTACGTATTTTCTCTTATTCATTGTACTATTGTGGTTGATTATCTAGGAGGATTCAAAATTTAAACTTGATAAGTTCAATTATTGCGATTTATAGCTAAAGTAGCTAGCACATAATCATATCTTTGAAATACAGATTGATATATATATATATATATATATATATATGTTTCGTATAAATATATTTAATTTTTATTTTTTTATTACTTTTAAGTTATATGAAGTTGGTTTGGAGGGTGGTTATCCGCACGGATGACTCGGGATCGATCCCCCCTCAATGCCTTCTAAGTCGAGCCTTTCGCAAGGGCTTGCCTAGTACGGTTTACATCCGCACAAAGTGTTCACCAGAAGGGCAGAGGTTGTAGTAACGGCGGATTTATCGGGTTCCAAAAATTAATAAATTGTATAAAGACAAATTGTGAGTAGTTTGATGAAAATGGTTCACACTTTTCTTATCCAAAAAACTTATCTAAGTTGGTTTGGTGGGGAGTGTGGAGTTTGTGAGGTCAATGCAACTATATTGGAACCAAACTTGACCTATGTATTGACCACAATGAAAATGCTCACACGGATTTTTATATATAATGATGTGTGTTAATTACTGTATATATTACTGCTAATTAAACCACAAAAATAACATTTTGGCCCTCTTGTATTATGTAAAATCAAGTGTGTGATAGGGGGTAGGTATCATGATTAAGCAAATCTCACAAAAATATGAGAGAGAATTACTATGGGGCGTGTTCGATACGAAGGAAAATGTTTTCTTGAGGTGTGTTTGAGGATGGGAGGAGATGGAGGCTATGGAGGTGTGGGTGAAGATGAGGTGTGTTCGGGGGTAAGAGGACATAATCAATGTTGAATGTCATCGATATAGCTTATTTTCCTCACTTTCACTAAGGAAAACAGTTTTGGAAAATATTTTTTGACAAAATGAGGTAATATATGGTTTAGACTTAAACTTAATTTACTATTATATTCGTTTAGTCAACGTATTTCCGAGACAAGTAAGTAAAGGGGGGGGGGGGGATTTGTGAAACAAATTCTGGAAATTATGTGAATAATCAATGAGCAAGATTCAAACTTTAGTTGTTATCAAGATGAGAGAGAAACTAGGGTGTACGTGTTCCCCATAAGCTCATAACGCGGTAATCCTAGTAATAGTAATCATTTCCTAGTGTATTACATGCAAAGTGATAAGTTAGGTATCTCTAATTCCTTGGTTCGGCAACTAGATAATTTCACCCCGCACCTTGGTCCGGCTACATGTGTATAATTTACTAACCCTTACATTTACCTCATATATACATCACATCAATGTATGACTTAGTTTTCACCCTTGCACCAATTGACATTAGACTATTAGATAGTATCACACTAAATCTATGTTGATAATTCTTTTCTTATTAACTACCTCCTTGGTCCGGCAAGTAGCAACAAGACGAGTTCTAATGCATGCACTCGTTAAAAAGACTTCTAAACGAAAGAATTATCAATGCATGCAATAACACTATTCAAGAATTACTTAATTACTATTCATACTTTATTAATCGCTCATGGTTCCCACAACCCTAGTTGTGGATTTAGTTACCCATAGTAGTAAGAACACAATTCATATTTTTAGATGAAGAAATCATGAACTTACGTAATAAGTAGAAGAAACCCAGAATCTCAACTTGAATTTCAAAGTAAAAATCTTCAAAACCAACTTAGGAAATCAAGAATTGTTAAAGTTGCAAGTTAATCTCCGAAGCCAAAAATAAAAAGTTGAAAACATTGGTGGAAGAAAAAAAAAAGGGTGAAAATGCTTGATGTGTAAAGAATGAAGAAAAGTGTGAAAACTCTATTTTGTCCCTGGTCCCTTGTGGATATTGTGCACCTCAACCAAGCTTTAAAAACTTAAGTTGAGGGTGGCTAATTCAGAAATATGCTTAAAATATTGGCTTTGATCCGACCAAGGATATTGTGTACCTCACTTGAGTTGAGGGTGACTAGTGCAAAACCTCTAGAAAAATAAAATAAAAAAATGATTGAAGCATTCTTGAGTTGTTGAGCATAACTTGTGAAATAATTGTTGAAGAGATGACTGAAAATAAAGAGAAGAAAATCTTGGGTGATGAAGTCTAAAATTGCAAAGTGCTTAAGGAAGCGATACTAATATTCCACCTTCTGATAGTGATAACTTATCTCAATTCTGATTACTGATCCTGGTATAACTTATCCAGAATTATTAACAAAACAAGGAAAAAGATGATATTATATATTCCGCGTTTTAACATTTATGTACGTGCTTTGACAGTTCGTGATGGTTGTACTGAAAGGATCAGTAGACATATCATTTGGAGGTAACAAAGAGCCAGCTGCATTTGCTGAGATTGTATCCATGGGTGGCATTAATTCAGATGTTAAGAGAAAACTCATAGCAACACTGGGCGGCATATGCCAGAACAGATTCTCCATTCCCAGAACTCGATTCTTTCTCAAGGTCTACGATACCACAATGGCTACCAAATTCTCCAAACTCTAACTACGCGTTTGGCCATAGGATTTGAGACCCTGCCTAATTTCAACTCAACGTTTCGTTGAGCATAATATTGTAAAAGAAACTAAAGTTTCCATTAGCAGTGGCGGATGTATGTTATGGATTATGGGTGCTTAAGCACCCATTGGTTTTTGCAATATACACTAATATTTGTTTGTAATATCTAATAATTTATTCAAATGTATTAACTAAGTACCCACTTTATATAGCAATTTTCAAATTAAAAATAATTGAGCACCCATGAAATAAAATTTCTAGATCCGCTACTGTCCATTAGAGTGAAATCATATGCAAAATATGTCTAAACTGTACTGTCATGTTCAAAAAGTACTGTTTTTATGCTTCAAAAATTGCAAAAATCTCAAACAGTATAACTTATCGATCAAACGATGAGTAAGAATATGCAGTTCTGTATTTTGAAAGGCAGAGCTCAGTCATTAGTTAAGACTATAGCTGAGCAGATGCACCTTCTTCCAATTCCCTTCAAGTTCAGTGTTTTCCAGCCTACACCGGGCTTGTAACATTCAATCTGCAATCATGATCGGAGAGTTAGCTAGAATGGAGCAACATTTACGCGTACATCTATTGGAAACAGCCAAGCATGATGAAGAAAACAACTAAAAAGATGTTATACGTACCACGTCTACAATTTCCTCATTAGATTTAACTCCTCCAATCACATAAATAGAGTCCTGTAGAACAGCAGCAGCTGAATAACCTCTCGCGAGTTCCATTGGCTCACCAACCATCCATGTTGCAAGACGGGGGTCATATATTTCAGTGCTACGTACCATTGTAGACCCATCATACCCACCAAGTGCATATCTGCATAGCAGTTGTGAAGCTAAAAGTAAATAACAATATTGAGATACACAACAATGCATATATAGCACACGGTCCTTGCCCCCTTCGACTACTTTTGCAATCAAAAAGCACGAAAAATTGATAACATACAACTTCCCATCCAACACAGTCAATGTATGATATCCTCTTCTCGTACTCATACTTCTTATTGTTGCCCACAAACTCTCTTGGATCAAATCTTTCAGCAGTCCTGTAGTAAACTGTTATCAGAAAAGAGATAAGAGACAGAGTTCCTATGGCTAAAAAACGCATAGTCAGCATAACAAGTACAACAGATTGGAACTTACGCAAGGTAATTGCTTCCATCATATCCACCAACAGCGTATAACGCACCATTGAGTTCTGCTGCAGCAAGACAAGATCGCTGCAAATACGTATACATAGAAGACAAAGTCATGTTTATGTAAGACAGCAGTAACAGTAAAAACCTTCTCATTGCGAATTACTCAAGTTTTCAAATTGTAGTATGTTGTTACTGAAACAAATAATTACTGATACATGCAAATACAAGGAGGTTGAAGCAAACCTTTTGAGACATGGGCCTTGTATTAAACCAACATCCGAATTGAGGATCATACATCTCAACTTCTGAAAAACAGACGATCACGTTTGCTCCACCAATTGCAAAGATTCTGTCTTTCCAAGTAGCACCAGCTAAAGTGCCCTTTTTCGTTTTCAAAGGGGGATGTAGAGTCCACATGTTAGTTGCTGGTTTATATGATACAACTGCACAAAAGCAACATAACATCAGCATGAGAAATTTAAGAAAGTAGAAAAAGTGGCACAAAGGAGCAATGAGTGTTAGGGGGTGTATATACCTGTGTCGTACCACAAGCTTTCGGCTCCAATAGCTCCACCATCGCCGCCACCAAACACAAACAGCTGTCCACAGAGTTCTGCAACTCCGGCATATGATTGGACTGAATGCATTGGCTTCAAAGACTTCACCACATCATTTGATGGTGAATATGACCCCAAGGCAGTTAGCCATGATACTCCATCATATCCTCTGATTAGGAAGATTGACTCAGCAGGATAGCCAACCAAGTCAGATGAGGTTTCACCATTCTGTACCTCTCTTAGTATCTGATCTGTCTGATGAAAAGTTTCTTCCCCACTCTTTACATCATGTCTAGTAGCATTCGTCACTGCAATAGTGCTCTGCTCTACAATATGCCTATTTATAGAGGCTCCTGATCTGCTGCTTTCTCCAGCGTATCGCACCTTGTCATTCTCTTCCCTATTTGTTAAAACTACACCTTGCATTACACTTCTCCAATTTGGTGCATTCTGCGGTATGCTTCTGATTGGAGCCAATACAGGAGATGAGAACCTGGAGATCAGATTAGCCGCTTGAACACGATCCAAACAAAACTATTAGCCCCTTTACCTGTAAGGAATTTAGACTTTAAGTTGAATTTTGCACTACTGTCGTATATTTCTATATTGTATTTTTTGTGGGATTCCATCTTTATCTAGTTGAGTTTTATATTTGACCAATGACTGCTATATATTGAATTTTATGCCCCTACTTAAATTATTGCTTGTCCTCAAACAACTAAAACTACACTATCACCAGTTCTAACAACAAAGCAACAATGACTATGGTTGGTTCTACTTGTGAGCTTACTAACATGTGACTTTAATATTTCAATCACCCCTCCTTCAAATAAAACTTGAGTGTTTCAATTATCAAATGATCAATTTATGAATGTCGAATATCAGATGATGACTAAACTACAAATGTGACCAAGTACTACAATTAAAGAACCCTATATGTGACATTTTCATGCAATTCATATGTCCTCACAACAAGAAATATACCTACTCTCAACCTTGAAGCAAATAATGTAGGGGGTAATAACAAGATTACTTACACTCCCGAAGAATATTGAGTATTGCAAGTGTCATGTCATAGGCTTGTTCGTATTTTAATTCAATATTTTTCAAGGAATGATTGAAATTTCAAAAGACTTTGTGATCATGTAATGTAGAATTGATGACAAATAAGATATTCATTTGGGTACAAGTGACTTGCCTTCTACGCACTACATATATGATTTCATTTTCATCCTTTCCTTGTTTACATTTTCCTTTATCTTTTCTTGGTGTCACACTCTTCCATTCTTTATATATACATCTTTTGTTCATCCTTCCCTTTCTACTTTCTTTTTGTTTGGTTATCCAAGTATCACTTTTTTTTTTCAAAATTAAAATAGAGTATATTCTTTTTTACACCACACAAAACACCTTTTTTTTTTTCTTTTATCTCCACTACATACTCCTTTCTCCCTTTCCATTATATGCTCCATCCTCAACTTAGACATTTAGCCTCATATCTTCAATTGAGTGTGTTAGGTAGGGTTTGGTTCTAAAAAGAAAATTTCTTCAAAAGGGAATATGTCTTGTAATGTGATGGCAAAAAAATGGGTTTAAGAGGCCCAATTGGGGAAATTGAGATCGCTTAACTAACAAGTAGACTTAATAAATTTCAGAAGAGGTTCTCTCTCTATTCAAGGCCTAAGATCATATCCTCAACTTCAAAATTCCTATAAGTACGGTGACAAATTAACAAAGCAAGTTGTAGATGAAACTAACAACACAACAGAGCAATTTAATCCTTGACAACTATTTTTTCAGCTCTTAATTGAGTACACTGCAATCATTTCATCAAGATTCACACATTAGTAATGAGAAAGTCAATAAAGGAGATATAATTTCACAACAAAGATCATTTAAATGTATTGACAATTCTTTCAAAATCACACCATTTTTAGTGGTATTAACAAATCACAAAAGAAAATTTATGCACACAAAAATCTACACGAAAGCACCAACCAAATCAAAGTACATATCATTAGGCAAAACCGAAGGAAATCTGAAAAAACAAAAAGTTATACTAACAACTATACCAACAACCTAAGGAAATCTGTTGTAGGACCTCTGTTTTCACCACTTCCATTGAGTGAGGAGTAACACCACTTATACCAACTATGGATGTCTCCTTTTGAGATACCTTCATGACTGCATCAATACTTATGTCCTCCAAATCTTGGAAGGATTCAAAATTACTCTGGTGCATCCCTATGGCTGCCTTCTCATGTGCCGCAACTATATCACCTTCATTTGTCTCAGCATTAGAAATGTCACCATTTGGAGACTTTTCTAAGCCATCATGTTGACCACCTTCCATATGCTTCACAATGGTGGGAACCAAAGGCTCTACTAGAGAAGGATCCACATGATCAGGATTTGATACGAAGAAATCAAAATTTGTGCATTTCATTTGGTCTAGCTCTTTCTTCAGTGTACTGACATCAACCTTGATAGTTGTGAGATAACCAATTACACTAGCCTCCAACCTGTATTAGACAACCCAATTAACTCCTTTGAAAAGGCCTGGTGAATATTGCTCACTGCTACTTTAATCATATTTAAAATCTGCAGCCCGAACTTGGCCATATATATTTGCATCTATGATATATGGTGGTTGACCCAATCTAATGAGGCCTTCCTGTGTGAGAGTAGGACCAAGTCTGGATGATGTTGTGACAGTTGCAAGTCTAGCACTGGGAGACTGGGTATGGGTAAATGTACTTGCTACAGAGGAGAGTGTGGAGCTTTTGGGCTTCTGCAAAGTGGTAATTATGGCCTCAAACCATCAATGCATCAACCTCTATATCTTCTAGAGATTTTTTAGGAGACATACCTGATACAACATACAAATCAACCTCACAGTAACAACATAAACACACATATATGTAGAGAAAAATAATAATCAAACAATGAACATCAGAGATTGTTGAAGCTTTGGTAAAATTAATCAAAAAGTAACCCTTTCATATAATTTATATATATTGGGTTCGTCATAAATTGGCAGAAAAGATTGAAACGATAGTATTAAATTTACCATTTATATCTCATACTATTTCAAGAACTCCATTGCCAACTATATTAAGCAAATATAGAATCAATCACCTTAAAATTTAAAAAAAAAAACACATGTTGGTCTACTTAAGGTAACATTCAAAATCAGATTACATAAAAGATCGAATTTTTTTAATTCATTAACGGCATAAGATAAGAAAATTATAAAAGAAGTCGACATAACAAGGTCCAAGAACTTACTTAATGTGCATAAATAACACACACAAAAATGAAGAATTTACTCTTGACAACTATCGAACACAACAAGAACCAAACCCCATATTTTAACAAAGATATACCCTCAAGTGTAAATTTTCACCAATAGAAAAAGACATGTAGCATTAATGTTATATTCCTTTAATAACCTTGGGTCACAATACAACCCTAATACTCTCAAATCAATTACATAAAATCTTAATTAATTAACTTAAAACTCATTGCTAAAGCTTAATAAAATCAATTAAAAATATTTAAGCAAAATTTCATAGCAACAAACTAATTAATCCTAGTGACTTGGGTATAAAAAAAAAGATTACTACAGTTTGCACTCAGTACCTAATTCAAACTCACCAAGAAAATAACTAACATATAAAAGTCATCCTTCGAGCACGATCTCTTTGACGAAAGACAAAAAAAGTAAACTTTGGTGAACAAGAGCTCAATTCTAATATTGTGTTGCCTAGGAAAGAGTTTTTTGGAACGTAACTCAACTAAGAAATAGTTTGTGGTGTTTGGGTGATCACCAATGACCTTGTCGGAAAAAATCATCGAAGCTTGAGGTTGAAACCAATGATGATCGATAGATATCAATGAAATTTGAGGTCTATAAAATCTGCGATTTGATGGGGTCATTAAAAATTTTGGAGCTCATTTTAGAACAAGGTTTTTTAGCCCAGCCTAAATAAGCTCGTTGGCTCGTGGGGCTTGAGTAATGTGGGTTACGTTGGCTGTGGGATAAATAAAAAATAAAAATAAATAGAATATTAAGAATAAGTAAATAACAAAATGAAAGTCAAATTCAAAGTCTACTTAAACAATCATACATAAATATTACAAGTTAATATTTCAATTTAGCTAGTTATTTTATTATTCATTAATTGTTTAGTTTGCTTATTAATATTTCTATTTGGTTCGAGTAGTATCATGTCAAATGTTATTTAGTTTCATGGATGACCGTTGACCAACCATCCATGCATTTACATAGCCTCTAAGGCCAAATACCTATTAGAATCTTCCCGGTTCTTATCTCCCTTGCTTTTGTCATTTCAACCGGAGATCACGACATTCAATTTACCTCATTGTGATACCAGTTAGAATCGAGAGATACCAATTGGACTCAACCCATTCAAGTAAGAACTAGATCACACGAAAAGAGTGAAAGAAGTGGACCGATTTCCTGTAATATTTCATTGCTTTGCAAAGATATATGTGGACGTCAACACACCAATTTGCATGACCCTATTCAACTTTTGCTCTTGTATTTGGGAGATCAGTAATCTGGGCTCTAACACCTAGATAGGAGAATCCTTACCACCCAATTTAAAACAGATACTGCGAAAGAAAATTAAAACATGTTGTAACTCTATAAAATAATGACTGAAAACATATCAACCTCAACTTTCAATATAAAACCTTTGAAGATAAAATGAAAGTTTTGTTAAAATACCATGAAAATCTTTCCTAGGAACTAGTCTAAATAGGTACAAGAGCTTCTAAGAATATGAAATAATATAAAATAAAAATGGACACAACTTCCACTGTGCGCAATGAGGAATAAAATTGTCGAAGATCATCATCTTCTTCACCTAAGAAACATCACTAACCCTGCAACCAGAATATGCCAAGTGGCATATCAAAAGTAGTATTCGTATAAACAACACGTACTAATACGTATCATCGGCCAGTCCGAATTTACCACATAATATCATGTAAATATTCAGAAGAAAACATGCAATATGAAAATCACCAAACCAACCTCTAGTCACACACTCTTACTATTCCGATTGAATGATCATAACCCATAAACCTTATTTCCAGTCTTCTTACCTCATTATGCTGTCAATTTTATCATTAAACATTCAACATTTTTATCACTTTAAGGCATTCCCAAGACTACCCTTTATGTCACCTTAAGGCTAGCCTACCTTGTATGCAAACACCACATGTACCTCACTCTAAGGTTTCATTTCACCACCCCGGCCCTTAGCCACCTTGACTCTAGCCCTTTTTATAATAAATGTTCTAAATCACTTTAACAGACATATAAATAAACTATGCACAAGACCCCATTCATCAATCGGACCTAAACAATCACATGAGACATATCTAAACCAGCATCATAACCCATACCTAATTTCAACTCACCTTTCAAGTAACGTGAACCACTCAGAAATCCTTAAGACATCTACTACAATGCTTAACATGCAAACTCGATCTATATTAGAATCATAGCTGCATTAAATACAATAAACAGTCCATTAATGGACCACCATGATTAATGCATAACAATGAAATAACTTGTTTCACTCATGAAACCAACACATAGAATACCACTAAACATGTACCAGGCATGGTACCCGAGCCAACCATATAGTAACATGTATCAGGTGTAGTATTTGAGTCAACTGATAATAAAATTTATACCAAGTGTGGTATCCGAGATAACTATAGATATTATGTAGCATGCATGATACTCGAGTCAATCAATAATATCTACGAGGTATGGTACCCAAGTCAACCAAGAGATATCATGTCCCAGACGTAGTAACCGAGTCAACTAAGTGATATTATGTACCAGACGTAATACCCGAGTCAACTATAGATATCTTGTACTAGGCTTGTACCTGAGCAAATTGATAATATGTACTAGGTATGGTACCCAAGCCAACCAAGATATATCTTCTATCAGGCGTTGCATCAGTGCCAATGGAAAATTTGTACCAGATGTGGTACTTGAGTCAATTGATGAATCACAAACATCACAGAATCACAACCATACTTATAAAAACACAAGTAATTAGGACAAGTTCATTACATGAGATTGACAATCGGATATCATTAACATTTATTCCTTTACTAGACACAAGTGTTCGTGCTAGCACAGACCCAATATCTGTTATTTTTTGTCTCACTTTATCTAACATAGATAAAATTTAGAAAGTCAATCAAATTTTAATATGATTTTTAAATATTTTAAATTTTTAATTATTGTAATTTAGAGTACTTTTTACGTAATTTTAAAATAATATATGTTACTTCCCTTGTCCCAATATATGTAGCACAAATAGAATTTCAAGAGTCAATATGTTGTTAATAGTTGAGATTTACAATACTTTTTATGTAGTTTCCAAATTAAATAATATATGTTGCTTCTTTTGTCCCATTTTATGTGACACGGATAGATTAATTTTATGAATCAATCAAATTTTTTATAAGCAATCGATTTTTATATGTTTTTTTAAAAAAATATTTTAAGTTGTCAATTATCATGATTTATAGGATTTTTGCGCAATTTTTAAATATATAAAAAAATTAAAAAATGAGACAAATAAATTAAAATGGAGAAAAAAAAGTAGACAGATGTATATGTAAGTGTGGAACCACACAGGTGAAGTAGACATGTTGATTGTCACCTGTACGATTATACACACTTATATGTAACTTGTAAGTAGTAGATTTCCTAAGCATGCATTACAAATTTCTCCGTTCATTATATTTAAATCATTTTTTCATAATTTAATTATACACTTTTGTGGCTCATTATTTTATTTTTTTCCAAAAAATAATAATTCCTTTTTTTTCTTTATCAATTATCAGGAAAATAACTTATTCTAATATATTGTATACAAAAAATAATATGTCAGTAGTAGTTAAAGTATATTGGTATAGTATACTATGATACTCATTTGATGTATATCATATATGCCTGAATATCACGCGGGATTGGTTCATTCTTTTCTTTTTTTCAAAAAGAAAAAAGACATTCTTCAAATGTATATAATATTTGAATGGTATATATATGATATACTGAAAGAGTATCATAGAGATATGGTTCATTCATTCAATAAAAATATTCAATCCTTAATGACATCATGATATATAAAATATAATAATAGGGTATCATAGAAGACAAATTCATTTCTTCACAAAATCTCAGTTCTCTTTGATACCCACATGGTATAGATCATATATGATATGGTATCATAGGGAATTGGTTCATTCCTTTAGAAGAAAAAATACCACTATTCCTCCATGATACTCGGATGGTATATATCATATACCTATAGAGGACTAACCCATTCCTTCAAAAGGAGTACAGATTCTATGATACCAACGTGATATAAAGAGTCAAATACAAACTATTTCTCATCTAGTATACTTTTTTGAAAAACACTTGTCAAATTAAATTGATTATAGAACTTTGACTTTATCAAGAACTCCCTAATCAACTATATATATATAAAAAAAAAAAAATCAAACATAAATTGTTATTTAGAATCTAAAAAAATGTAGTTTTTCCTTCTAAAGTATTTTTTCGAAATACACTTTCAAGAAAATATACTTAGAAGCACTTTTTAAGAGTTTGGTCAAACACTAATTACCAACTGCTCAAATATATTTTGAAATAGAATTAGTCAAACACAAACTATTTCTCACCTAATATACTTTTTTGAAAAACATTCGCCAAATTAAGTTGATTATAGAAGTTTAACCATATCAAGAATTCCATAATCAACTTATAAAACAAATAATCAAGCAACATAAATTGTTATTCATAAGCTAAAAAAATATAAATTTTCCTCTAAAGTACTTTTTTTAAATACGCTTTCAAAAAAAATATACTTAGAAGCACTTTTTAAGAATTTGGTCAAACATTAATTAGTAAATGCTCAAATGTATTTTGAAATTTAATAAGTCAAACACAAACTATTTCTTACCTAGTATATTTTTTTGAAAAACACTTGTCAAATTAAGTTGATTATAGAAGTTTGACCATTTCAAGAACTCCATAATCAACCATATAAAACAAATAATCAGTCAAATACCTTTTTAAAAAAACATATCGATCAGCTTAAAGTAACCATCAAAATCAGACTATGTAAAAGATTAACAAAAACATTATTCATTCTTGGAATAATACAAAATATTTGACCCAAAACCTTATCTAATAAACTAAAATAAAACAAATAGCAATGGATAATCAATGGTGATCGATAAATATCAATGGTATTTCTATAAAAAAAAAATGTAAAACTTGTGGTGAGGATAGGCTCAAAACTCGATAAATTTAGAAGAAAAAAACTCGATGGGACATAGGGTTATCATATTTCTCAAATTTGTGTAGCTTTGGAGGTATTCAAATGATTTGATTTGGATCTCACTTTTGATTTACAATATTAAAAAAATAATTTCAGAAACCTCTCCTAGCTAGGTATCATTTCCTAAAATTAATCTTGCATTTGATTTACAATATTGAAGTTACCTCTCAATCTTATTTTAATGACAGTTGATGAAACATTTCAAGTTGTTCTTACTCCTAAAATAACTTGGGATTCCTTTCAATGTATAATTCCTGTGTTTCCTCGATTATTGGTATAAGCAATAATAATAATAGTGTAATTTCATAAAGTGGAATTTAGAAATGATAACATATACATAGACTTTATTCTTATAAACGCAAAAAAAAGTCAAAAACAATAGTCTATTAGTATATTCAAAACTAAATACTGATAATCAATAGAATATATCATCCTAATCTTTCGCTTTAAACGAATGAAGAACCTAATTATGTTTCATTTATAGCAACTAATTTATTATTAATAAATTTCTAAAGAAAAAAAATCCTAAAATTCAGTTGAACTTGAATCCATCCAAAACAACACTTTCTATTTTTGGGACAGAATAGTTATCTGTAGTTGATATAATCATTAAAAAAAATTGTTATAGTTTTTTCCTATTTTCTATATATATATATATATAAATTGCTAACGTTTTTCCTATTTTCTTTATATATAAGTAAAATCTCTTATTTTTTGTTCCATATCACATCTTTGGTGGTTCGAATTGTAATATAATTTTTATTTTATTTGTATAAATGACAAAATCATTTATTATCGGTATACATCAAATATAGTGCACATCTATAAACAATATAAATATACTATATGATATCTTTTGTTTATTTACATGTGTTAGTAAAATATATGTGAAATTCATATATGTTTGTATGAAATATTTATATATATATATATATATATATATATATATATATATATATATATATATATATACATACATGGTACTTTCCAACTGAAAAGTGTTTTCTCTTTAACTATTTATCCTATAAATATACAAATGTTATCGTTATATCCCGTAAATTTCTAGCAAAAATATATTTTTAAAAATTAACATTATTCATTTGGGTATATATATATATATATATATATATATATATAAGGATAGAGAGAAATGAGATTACATAGTGAGAAAATAAAATGAGATTTCAAATATTTTTCATAACCGGATGATTTTTTTAAAATATGGCAAAAAAATGGAATAAAACCTTCATATTAATAAATGAATTTTGTCTTCTATTAAAATTTGATTTTAAAGTTTAAACCCATTATTTAGTATATAATATTTTTATCTACGCATATTTATAATGGGGTCATATGGATAATTATGCTTAACGGTTTGACTTATGGAATATCGGATTTTAAATATACTAATTTGTTTGCCAATCAATAAGTTATCGGTTGGTTCGATATCAGATTAGAAATTAACGGATGATTATCAAGCGGTGTATTGGGTTCAACATTTCATGCTTTCTTCTTTCTTCTTTCACTTTCACTCACAATTAGATTGATCTCTCATCAAACAAATCAATTTTTCTAGCTCTATCTAAGCTGGTAATTCAGTAATTATAAATCACAATGAGACACATATGAAAGTCTAAATTTTGAGGGTGCAAACACATTAGTATTTACTTAATAAATATACTTACCGTAAAAATATTACTACGATAATTCTTAACGGGTTAACGGTTTACCCAATAAGGAAATTGAGTAATCCCCCCGTATCGATAAACTGTTAACTATATAAAATTTTAATTTGTTGACCAATTGTTAATCCAATAATTTAATACAAAGCCAATTTTACGATTAACTTAATGATTACGGTTTAATTTTGAACTACCCTAATTTGTCGGTACTAATACTCCAGAAAGGATAAGATTTTATGCGATTAATTTCATGTATTAGTATAAAAAGTAAAGAGAATAAACATTTTGGGCAAGATAATCAAAATTGATATGGATCAAGATATTTTAGATAGACATTATTATGGGAAAATGGAACAATTATAGGTATTTTTTGAATTATAACGTATATTTTGGTATATTTATTTTTTATAAGAGGACAATGATGCGATATATAGGTAGATAAGTTATAACAATCTTTGACCATTTATTTTTTATATTTTTTGTTGACTAAAATTTATTATTTTTCCTTATAAATACTGACTAATCTTTATTTAATTTCCTATAAATACACTCTACACTCTTTCATCTTCTTCCTTAGTTTCTTTTATTTTTCAAAATAC